GCTCAGTAGAATAAGCGCTTGCCTGGCAACCAAAGGTCTGAGTTCAATCCCCGGTTCTGCAAAAAAAAAAAAAAAAAAACACCAGTCTGGGCTACAAAGTGAGTTTAAGACCAGCCTGAGCTGCATAGTTAGACCCTGTCTCAAAAAGAAAAAAATCAAATAAACATCCAGAGGCAGTACACCAGATGTAGCTCAGGGACTGGCTTGGCACTGTGGTTCAGATTGAGAGTGCTCAGAGCAGGGGCTGTGGAAGGACCAGGAGGCTGACAGCTCACTTGCCGCCGGGAGGTGGGGCCTTGGCCAAGTCACCCGTCCCAGTTCCTTGCTTCTCCACCTGCTTCCTGGCTGCTGCTGCACTGTGAGCGGCTCTCCTGTGCCAGACCCCCTACTGGAAAACACGCACCAACGACTCCCTCCTCGTGTACACTGCAGTGTCAGGTATTCTGTCCCAGGTTAAGAAAGTCACCAGGACAAGCTGCTTGCTGCTTTCTCCTTTCAGTATTTCTAGTTTAGGCCCTTCTGTAAGGAGTGAGTATTGCTATTACAACAAGAAAAAAATTACAAGGACTGAATTTTGAAGAGAAATGTTCAGACTCCATGCTGCTTATGCTGTGCAGTCTCCACAAGGCCTGAGGCAGCCCCAGGGGACGGCGCATGTCTGAGTTCCTGAGGGCATCACATGCGGCACAGCTGGCAGCAGCACCAGCCACCCCATGCTCACCTGTCCTGTAGCAGCTGCTGCGAAAGGCCCTGCAGATACAGGGAGGGTGAGGCCCCAGGCTGCTCCAGCAGGCACGCGTGGGCCATGCACTGGCTCCATAGGACGTCGGCCTCCCGGTGCAGTGTGTGGGGCAGTGGCTGTGGCTCCACGGATGCCACACTGGTCGACGCTGGCCCGTCCACCTCCAGGAAGCTGCTGGTACCTGGCTCGGTCTCTGATACCATGTAGCTCTGGATGAAGAAGAGCTTTGGCTTCCCAATGAGGGAAGGGCAGGCATCGCCGGTGAACATCGTCCGCACCTGCTCCAGAGGCAGCCCCAGGTGGGCCGGGCCCACACCAAACACCCTGTGGGGGTCCCCACGGCTAACCAGGACACACACAAAGCTGTCACGGCCCTGGTGCCGGGGCGAGGAGGCCACCTGGTGGAGAACCTGGATCATGTCTTTCACGGGAAGGCACAAAAAGCACTGGACCTCGAAGCCCAAGGAAGAAAAGGTATCTCGAAGGCCATCTGCAGGAAACAAGCCCAGAAAATAGCAGTAGTAAGAAGAGCCCAGAGGCCAGGCTAGATCCCAGCAGCATGACCGACCCTGTATCTGGGTCCTCTGGGGACCTGAGGCTGGGCAGAGGGACAGCAGTGACCCCAGGGGGACAGCAGCAGCCTGAGCCAGTCCGTCAAAGGGCTGGGTCATCTTGGAATTAATCTGGATTTCAGCAAGACTTCAGGTGCCCTGCTGGTGACTGTAGCCTCGCCCGGAGCACTGGGTCCCCGAACTCCTGCCCCACAGAGACTGTGAGATGTGACCGAGTCAGTCCTGCCTCACAAAGCCACTTGGCGGCAGCAGCAACTTGTCCGCACGGCCAGAAGAGAAAACCACCTCTGAGGCCCTCAACTACGGCTAGCAGCAAAAATGGACAGGAATCACCGCCATCTAAGAAGACAGGTTTGGGGCTCACCTTTCTCTTGCCTGCTAATGCTACGTGTGAAGGAATGAACTCTGCACCCTGCAGTAACACACAGACTGAGGGAGCAGTCAGAGTCCCAGATCCTCTCTCAGCACTGTTCCCAAGAGACAAGATCTGCAGCTGCGGATGACCCAGGAAATGACACACATGGCCTCCTCAGGCCTCTGAGTGACACAGCAAGGCTTCAGCATCCACCACACAGGGTGGACACAGGGCAGGACCAACAGGACACCAGGCCTTGCCCCAGCTCATTCTCGACAGACTGGTCCTCTAGGAAGCAAGGCACATGGGAGGCGCGTTCCAAGCTGGTCGCTAATCTCCAGCCCCTGCTCTCGCGTCCCCAGCTCTGCCGCTGCCTCCCAGGAGTCAGCTAGGAGTCACTTGCTCTCAGAAGAGCAGGGAGAGGCTCAGGCCCTGGACTGGTACAGGAAGTCACTGCCCAGCAGATACAGGAGGGAGAAGAGGCCAGAGACAGAGATGGAGTCCCAAGCAGCAGGTACCACGACAGGCCAAGAAGGGCACAAATGGGCCCAGCAGGCTCCTGGTGACACTCAGTCACTCTACAGGCAGGACCGGTCACCTGCTCATGTGTGTCACAAATGGCACACTGCCCTCTCCTCCTCACGAGGCTGCATCGGCTTCCTGCCTTCCAGCCTGTGAGAGCTCACACGCAGCGCCACCTGACTCACAAGGGACAGTGGCACTGGAGTGGCGGCCCCGTGACAGGCAGACACCTGAGCCTCACTTCTGAGAAGACAGCTGCAGGCTCTGGTGGGACCTGTAGACCCTCACACACTGTGAAGGCTGCTCCAACAGAGCAGTGGACACTAAGGCAAATGTGGCTGGCCCTGGCCAGAGCCAGAGGAAAGAGGGCTTGGGGATCCCGGCCACATTGCTGCCTTTTCTGCCCACAGGCAGGAGGAAAACAACACAGTGCTCAACGTGGGAAATAAAACTTAAATACAAAGCAGAAGTCGTGCTTCTCCCTGTACACAGCCGGAAACCCTGCTCCCACCCAGACCTCGCTGGGGAAACTCCGCCTTTCCTCAGAAAAGGCCTCTTCAAATGACAGGCTTTCTCTTAAACATTCAGAGTGCAGGGCTTCCCAGAAGGCCACCCTCAGCCCACAGGCTTGGGGCAGCTGGGGAAAAGCCCTATAAACTAAACACAGTGACATGCCCTAGCCTCACTGATTTCGGTTCACTTTGCTGTAAAGAGGGCACGCTGCTGCCTGGTACTTTCTGTGAACTGCTCTATTAAACAAATATCTAGAAAAGAGATCAAAGAGAAGGCCAGGCCAGTCTGCAAACACGGATGGAGCCCAACAAACCCGAACCCTAACTGATAACGAGCACACAGGCAGAACCCAAGACACCATGCGTCCCAGGAAAGGGGGCCGGGGCTCAGCAGGTGGGCATGAGGTGACAGGGCCCCAGCGCCAGGCTGCTAACTGCAGTATTCCTCCCACTCACTGTACCCTCGTGCGTGTCATGAAGTCCCCTTCATCACCTCACAAGAACTCTAGGACAGGGGAACATGCATCATCGTGCCCACATGAAGTCAATGTCCTCCCAGGAGTACAATGTGGACAAGTGTGTATAGAACAGCACTAAAATGTGGCATGGCCCACTCGGACTCAAAGGGACACAGGCACTCCTAGCAGTGAAGGGCACAGGGGCACCAGGGGGGCACTATGGGGACAACGGAGCTAAGTGGGAACAGAAGGAGGGCAAGACCCAGGTGGCTCAGACACACTCCCTGCTCCTGAGCTAGCCCAAGAGCAGACCCCAGGTGCCCGGCACAAGCCAAATGCTTGCATAGCAAGTGACAACTCTGAGGAGACCAGGACACAAGAAGGGCTCGTGCACCGCAAGTGTGGGACCTCGTGGCTCCCTACCCCAGTCCATCCCAGCAGGGAGGCCCTGACTGAGCACCCCCACAGAGGAACTGGCCTGGACAGCCACGCATGGCAGCCACCCTTCCGACCCGGACACCCTCAGCCCACTGCCCGCTTCTGCCCGTGCTCCTTCCTGTACACAGAGAGACACACACGTGTGTGCTCAGTCCCAGCAGTTGCCTTGACTCGGGAGAGGTGAGGCGGATGCCGAGGTCAGCCACAAATAGCAGAGCCTCTCATCTGCAGCGGGCCACGGCTTTATCTCCAGGTTCTCTGAACACAGCAGAGCACCAAGAACAGGAAAACGAAACGAGTCACCCTGAAGACAGGCCAGGCCACGGCCTCCCCTGAACAGGAAGTGACTCGGTGAAAAGGCAGCTCCTCATCCTTGCAAGGACACAACAGCTAGCGAGGAGAGGCCACTGACCCACACTGAGACTCGAAGGAGCACACGAGAGAGCAGGGGTCCAGGTTTGCATACTGGGAATTGAACCTGGGCCTCCATACTGAGCTACACCCCACCTTTCTGCCTGCTTACTTTCTTTTCCTTTCTTTTGACAGGGTCCCACCACATTGCCCAGGCTGGGCTTGAACTGTGGTCCTCCCACCTCAGCTTGCCAGCGTGCTAGGATCACAGGATGCATATGGCTCAGTGGCTCAGTGCCCCAGCGCCATCCCTGGCATCACGGGGAAAAACAAAAAGCTCCCATGGTAACAGTTTAAGTGAGCCTAACTTGTTTTGGAGTTGTTTCTTTTTTGTTTTTTGTTGTTTTTTTTTTAAGGTAAGCCTAAAAGGTTGTTCGAACTCATAACAGAATGGTGAGGAACTGAGAACTCTAAACCAGAATGATGGGCCCTCAGAGAATATGACCCTCACATCCAACTCCTCAGGGCCCTCTGATGCCTTGCTGGGGTCAGTGAGTCAGATGCCCAGCCACAGCTGAGTGACGGATCCATGCAGAGCAACCACGGAGTCGAGGACACAGACCTGGGGTACGTGGCTTGAGCAACACCCACGCTCCCCAGAACATGTGTGTCAGGTTTCACTGTCCTGAGCAAGGCTGTCACAGGCTTCTGGAGTGAAGCAAAGGGCCGCCTGAGGCCACTCAGAGCCACAAGGCCCCTAGGGTCGCTGTCCCAGGCTCAGGATAACTTCTGCCACTGTGTGGAAAGCTGGGACCAGTGACACCAGCCTTCACAGCTCACTGTGCATTCCCCACGCTCCTCTTCTGCGCCTACTGACAACTGGACACACAGCCCAACTGACTCAGACTGGGCAGTGGGGCCATGGGGGGTCAGTCACCCACAGCGTCCACACGTACCTGCGACATTGCCAATACAGTCAATTATCAGACAGATGCCCAGGGGCCTGCTCTGCATCCGATATCTCTCCACGGGCATGTACTGGAAAGACAAGGACTGTTACAGACCCAAGAAAAAGCTCCACTCCACAGGTCCCCCTGCCCCCACCTGTCCCCAAGCTCCTGAGGCGCCCCCTGGGCAGGAGAGCCATGGTCTAGCCCCCCAGTGCGGCAGCACAGCCCCCAGTCTGCATGGTGACCTCTCCCATCATCAGCAGTTTCTGTTAGGGCAATGAGTTTCTGACAAACTAGCTACAGGATTTCCATTTTTACTTAAATTTAAAGAAAACTGTCTTAGCTGTACAGAAGAGACACAACTGGAAAGTATATCTCCACCATGACCTGAATGAAGTAGAAACAGGAGCAACTTTCCAGACAATACAAACAGGGGTCTCCTGCTGCTGCTTTTTACCACAATTGCCACCCTAGGAATAAGCCTGCATGTCTACTCACTTTCCACAGGTGCTGAGTGAGGACAGGGCCACTTCGGACCCCACCTATAACTGTTGTGAACAAGAGCCACTTTCGGGGCTGGTGAGATGGCTCAGTGGTCTAGGGCACCTACTTAGAACAAGCTTAGCAAAACATAGGGACTGTGGTTCGGTCCCCCAGCACCACATGCCGGCCAGCCCCCCCCCCCCCCCCCCCCGTGGGCTGAGCTGGCCACCACACACACACACACACACAAATAAATAAAATTTAAAAAAAGAGCCACTTTCACAGTATTCTCTCCATTACGTTCATGGTCCCTGCCAAATGGGCTCTTGGAAAAGTCACGCAGGGGGGGTCACACTGTCACAGGAACTTCCCAATGGACAGTTTGTTTTAGAACTCACTGTTCTGCAGACACCATGTACAATAGCAAATCAGCTCATTTATTCTGCACCTGAGGCAAGAAGACTCCGGATTCCTGAACAGACATCTTTGTGGGTTCTAGAGAGAGGAAAAAAAAAGCACTGTCACTAAGCAGGAGGGAGGCTGAGCTAGGCCACGGGCTGCTCTTTGCCACAGCACAGCTGCCTCCTGCCTCCCTCTTCAGCAGTCTTCTCTCTGATGCCCACAGCACAGAGACAATCCAGTGCCAAGCATGGTGGTAGTGGGGATGGCAGCACACGCCTGTAATCCCTGCACTCAGGAGCTGCGACCGGAGGGTCACTGGCATTCCAGGCCCATCGGGGCTACTCAGTGAGACCCTGTGTCTACAATAATCCATCAATCAATCAATCAATCAACCTGCCAATCTGTGCCAGGGGCCTACACTATGTAGGGCTATGTAGAGAAACTGCTTGAATAGCAAGGGAAGAAGGCCTTTCCCTCGCCCTTCTCCATGGGAGACTGCAGGCCCAGCAAGTTTCTAAGCCAGCTCTCAGCAGATGGTCAGGGTTTCCCTACCCAGGGACACAGGGAGATGGTAAAATGCATGGCCAGCGACAAGAAGGGACACCATGCTGGGACAAAACGGCTTCATGAGCTCACAGGGCTGCAGGAGCCGCAGCGTGAAGAACGCAGGCTGGCGCTCACTGACACCACCCCAGTTACTCTGACCTGATGGCTTTCTACTGTTATGTGAGACTACTGCAAAATGAAAACTAACGTCTAAAAATAGGCAAAGAAAATTTCCATGTCAGTAAGGCTTGGGGAGAACGAGCACTTTCAGATGTGACACTGAACCAGCTGCATGTCTTCAGTGTGCCGCAGTGCTCTGCTCTGCGAGCCTAAGAGTGACAGGAGCAGGAGTGGGAATCACTACGAAAGCCAGGCACAGTGGTGCGTGCCTGTGACCTCAGCTTTCAGGGCTGAGACAGAAGGACTGTTGCTAGCATTCAGCCACCCTGAGCTCACAGGGAGTTTTCGTCTCAAGCACTTCTGCTAAAAGGAGACCTACTGAACGACTATAAGGCCCCAGACTAGAAAGAACCTCAAAGTCCACAAACGCGAGGTGAGCCAAGTCAGTTGTAGTACATATAGTGAACACTACACAAGGCTTAAAAGGGCATGAGAGCTCTATGCACTGGGTATGAAAGAATACACAGGACTCACTAAGAGGCAGATCGTTGAGCAACGTGTGCAGCATCCGGCCCCACACAAAGATATGATGTGCTTATCCGACACTCCTGGGGTGTGCATCCCTGCATGGCTCAACCCGCTGGGGTGAAGGAGATTCAGGGAGGGAGCTGCGTAGTCCACAGATGTCCCTGCGCCCTGTGGCCCTGTGGCGCAGCACAAATGGGGTCATCGAGGGGATCAAATGGCTCCAGCACCCACCCTGCCTCAGTGCCAGGTGCAGCCTAGGGCAGCCGTGCAGCACATACACACGGACACGAGGTTTCCTGCAGGACAGGACAGTTTCATGCATGGCCTTGTGCACCTGTGGGCTTTGGTGTCCAGGACCCTCTGGCTAGCAAGGCACAACTGCGTATGCCCGACAGGAGTCTGTGGGGCAGCCATCAGCAGCGGCTTCCCTGATGTATGAAGTTAAGAACATTTGCTTTATCTGTTTGTATTTTAAGACTCACACATTAACAGAAGAAATAATCCACAAAATAACCCACATGATGTCTCTCCTAGTGGACAGCACCTAAAAGAGCTTACCAAGCTTCCAGAACCTTTTCATCTATACAAAAAGGAGCTCAGCTCCCAGCAAAGAGCAGTGTTTATTTCCATTCTTACACAAACCAACGAGCTGCCTCCCTTCCAGCCTTCAGGGGTTAATTCTCTGCACCTCATTCAGGAATTACTTCAGAGCATTCAGAGAATTCTCCTTCAGAGAATTAATTCTCTCAACAGCGCTTGTGCAGTCAGACTATGTGGCAGGGTGGGGCAGGAGCCACCTCGTCAGCCAACCCGGCAGCTGCTGCCTTTCCCAGAAACCGCACTGGCACACAGGGACCCCAGCAGGCGGTGGCATCTGTGGTGCAGGCTCTGGACCTGAGGCCCACACGGTCCTGCACTGAGGCCTCAGGATGAGCAAAGAAGGGGGCCCCTGAAGGCCAATGCTGTGGGCCCCTCGATGACCCCTCAGGAGGCTGCAGGGGTCCAAAACCCCTGGTTTTTGTATTCCTTTCTTTCTTTTAGGAACGCGAGGATGCCTTCTATACAGCATCTACTTTTATTAAATAAGCCATCAAGCAAGGACCTATTAACCTTCCTTCCTCCTGCTGCTAGATATTTGCTTAGAAGTGGCGTATGATCATGGCCAGACGACTGCTGAATGGGGCCTGCACGTGGCTCCGTGTCAGGGGTATCCCATGGCCCCTGCCTAGGTGGGGAGATGAAGCCCAAACTTAAGTGACCTAATTCAGTGGAGAGCTGGAAAGGCCATAAATACACTTGGGAGTTATATGAAGACAAAGGAATTAGGCAACTATTAAATTACAGCATTCTGTAGTTGAATCACTAAATGTGTATGAAGAATGGGCAGAAAGAAACACTGTTCTTACTTTGATGATGTATCTCAAGTCCTTGTCCTTTACTTCTTCCGTTCTGCAGCTTCAAATACAAAGAATAAGGTCACACTCCATTAGTTTCCTCAGAGAAACATGACAACACACCTGTGCTTTTTTGTTGTTTTTGTTTGCTTGTTTGTTTTCTGTACCAGGGATGAACTCAGGACCCTACGCTTGCCAGGCAGGCACTTATGCACTGAGCTGTCTCCCTGCCCCTGATAGCACACCTCTTTACATATCTCAGTGGCATTCTTACCCAGGAAAGAAAGAAAAATACACCTTCACAATTAAGTCACCTGCTAGCTTCATAAGGCCTCCATCACACAGCCAAAGAATAAGGCAACTATTTTCTAAATGAAAATACGGGCTAGGTGTGGTGGCACTCGCTTGTGATCTCAGAACTCAGGAGGCTGAGGCCAGGCACACCTGACTTGGAATTGCTAGGTGGCCACTTCCTGGCTGGGCACCTTGCGCAAGATGCTTAACCTCGGATGAGGACAGTACAGTAGCACCCTTACTGCTTATTACATAATCACTCGGCACTACGAGGGGCACATGGGGTTCTTCATAAATGTCCAATTTCTGCCTTTCTATTATGACTTAGCTTGGGGCCAGCAAGCTAGCTCAGCAGACTAAGCGCCTGCTTTGGCAAGTGCAGGGACCAGAGTTTAATCCCTGGTCCTTAACACTATACTGGCGCCATCTGCAGGGCACGCTGAGCCAGTGACTGTGTCCAGGCATGGTAGCACACGCCTGTAATCCCAGCGCAGGGGAGGCTGAAAACAGGAGGATCACCACAAGTCTAAACTGCATAGTGAGACCCTATACCAAATAAATAAGTGAAAAATATATACATATTTATATATATAATGACTTAGCTGTAGCTGTACCACATGTGAGCCTGATTCCTGACAATCATGACCTCTTGACAACCACTTCTGAGGGCCTGGGAGGGGCAATGAGCTGACCCTGCCTCCTTTCATGTGGCAGGCCCTGTGTAAGGGATGCACACCACGGACTGCTGCCCATGTGACACACTTGGCTTTCAGATGACAGCTCTCCTGAAGCCACCCAAGCTGAGAGGAGCACACTGTCAATCTGAGGGCAGCTGTGTGGGAGTGTCTGCGTTAGACACGCAGGGGCTTTTTTTTTTTTTGTATTTTAGGGGAGGGCCTACAGGGTGTTCAGGGTCTCACTACTAGATCAGACTTGTAGTGATCTGCCAGTTTACAGCCTCCCAAGAGCTGGGATTACAGGCACATGTCACAATTGCCATCTCAGTGCACCCTGGAAGCAGGGCTGGCATGGCAGGGCCGGGGATTGAACCCCTGGCCCCTGTGCCTGCTTACAGGCGCTTTAATCCACTGAGCTATTTGGCTGGCCCTACGCAGGTGCTTTTTACAACAATAGCTGCTACATAGCCAGAGGCGGATCATGTTTGATAAAAATTGTTCTCCCAGAATCCGATCATTTTTCTCCTGCAGCCAATCACTTTCAGATACTGTTAAACAGAGAGAAAAGTAAATCAAAGATATACCTCACAAATGTTATGTTGCAGTCATACAGCTTTTTCTAAAATATCTTTGTACCCTGTAGCACTTAATACCATTGCAATTTTCTTTCTACACTGGGTATTGAACATAGGGCCTTCACAGTGAGCTACATTCTTGGCCCTTCCTTATTTTTTCTGAGCTAGGATCTCACTAAGTTGCAAAACTGCCCAGGCTATGGTTCACCCTTGTGACCCTCCTGCCTCAGTCTCCAGGTGATGAGACTACAGATACATGTGACCACACCAGGCCCAGAGCAATTGTTTGAAGCATTTCCACAGTCTCCTGTGAATTAACAAGTAGATATTCAGCTCCTAAAGCTTGTGGGAAAGTTACCGAGTTCATACACCACTGTGCCTGCTTACTAAATAAAGCAATGGTCAGGGTCTCATATAAGTGAGTGAGCAAGCTGAAGGGGAGGCAGGCTCGCCCAGCCGTGGGCTCTCAAAGGCTGCCAACAGCGTGTTCTCACTTCACATAGCAGGTTGCTTGAGGCAGGGCTGTAATGCTCACATCAGATCAACGGCAGAGGAAGCTTGGGAAATCTAGGTTTGACTCTTGACTCTCTTAGTCTCACCATATCTCACCACAGCAACAGTAGCTCCCGAGGGCCGCTGTGGGGCAGGCAAGGGGCAGGGCCAGCTGGCTAGGCGAGTGGAGGGTGCTGCTCACCCTGAGGACTCAGCGCCCTGTTTTGCTCAGCAAGTGGGTGAGGTGAGGCTCGGAAGCCCTGTGCCTCAGTGAACCTCAGATTCTCCGAGAAACTTATTCACGTTAGAGAAGTAATGTTTCATCATGCACTTTTATGAAAGTGTTTGCAATTTAACTGTGAAACTGTACTCTAAGTCCTCTCTGCAAATCTCACCTATGTAGGGGGAGGGTCACACCAACACTCCTTTCTCTCAAGATAGACTATCAACCACAGGACAATTCTGATGACACCCTGCACGGCCCACTACAGTCACAGCCACAAGTGACTACGTGATACAGTCATGACTATGCTCATGAATGAAAAAAGTCTTGTTTCATCACTCCACAACAAAAAAATGTTCACCAAGAAGCTCAACAAACATTTATTAATTTAATAATAATAGGAAATTATACATATTTTTAAAAATATATTTCTGACAATTTTCTCAAAGTAGATTTTGTGCGACTATGTCTATTTTCATTGAAGCTGTAAGACAGTTTCATGCTGGGATTCCAGGTGTTTGCTTCACACTCACCCTTAAGTTACGTGAAAGATCTGTAAGACTCAAGTTTGGGAAAGAAGCTTGGAGAGAATTCAGGTAACCTGTTTGTGCTTCTTTAGCTAGAAAGCAAAAGAGAGGTACTGAGTTAAGGTTTATAAATTATTTTCGAACAAATCTTCAATAATGGTTCAGTCCAGGTTCCACCAGTCTTAGCTTCACCCTGGTGTCAGCACATCAGACGACTCTTCCGCGACACATCAAGACTGGACTAAAAGTTCCCACCCTCGAGTGTCTGGCGCTCATTCAGCATGTGGGCACAGGGCTGTCTGTCAACCAGCTGGCCTCAGCCACGCCCTCGGTCTGTGCCCAAATGGTAACAGCGAGCCGACAGAGTCCACACTGAAGTGGAGGACAGAAGACAACCAGCTGGAGAGTGAGGCAGAGGGCTGAGGGAGTCACGGGTGCCTTTTTGTGGGGGTCAGTCCAGTGAAACTGGAGACACGCAGGGCGGCTACGGGACCCTAAAGCTGCATGCCAGTCGCCAGGCCAGATACTAGAGCCAGGCAGTAGCACCCAACACACAGGAACCTTAAGTGTCCAAGGTCTGCCACTATGTTGAAAGGCTAGAATGTTCAGGACTGCAACGATCAGGCAACAGAATTGCAGACCTGGGACATGAAGATGCAAAGGGTGGGACCCACGGCCCAGGCTCCAGGCTGTGGACAGCAGGCTGCGATCCACCCACCTACACATCAGTCAATTTTCACCAGACTCACCACTGTGCACAACACTTGCTTTACCTAATGAGAGGCCGAAGTTGTTCTTACCAGACTGCTTATACTTTTCGATTTTTGTTTTCAGGTCTAGTCTGTGGATGTTCTTTAGGCATTTCTCTAATAAGTCCAATTGATCTGGAGCAATCAGATTCAATTTCTCCAATTCAATCACGAGTTCCAAGAAACTCTAAGAGAGTCACCAACAAGAAGCAGATGTCAGTACAGCTAACACAAACTCCAGGCCTTTCCATGTACAACAGCAAGAAAATGTGCCCAGATGAGCTCCGCAGGGCCCCGCACAGAGCCAGTCGGGCGTCTCTCCCCGGAGCAGACTGTCCTCCTGGACCTTACTCAAGTCCTCGGTCATCCGCTGGTCAGGGAGAGACACGGGCTGCTTTGTGCCGTCAAGCATCCTGCAAACGAGCTCTTTCAAACACCCAAACTGATGTTGAGCTGAAAACTCTAACGGCCTTCCCAAAACAGGGAAGCAAAAGTTGCTAGGAGAAAGGATTTCAGAGGAAAACCCTACTTCTACGTTTGTAAACACCTCAAACTATTTTAATCTGTGCCAGATATTCCAACACTTTGTGACTCAGGATTCTGCAGAGCAAAGACTTGAGTTGCAGACATTCTACTGTTCGTTTACAATGGACCACAGGGATAGTGACAGAGCTGTTTCAGAAACAGCCATGTCTTTAGGCTCTAGTCCCTCTGTGTTTAATGCTTGGTCCTGAAGTGCTATCTTCATTTTTTTTTTTTTTTCAAGTAAAACATAATTAACTTCACACAGATGATGAGAGAGAAGCTAATTAGCAGCAATCAACAACTGAGTCATTTTCCTTCTCCTTTGGCATTTGCCGTGGGAGCAGCTGTCCTCCTTTGCAGTCTTCAGAATGGAATTAGGTTGAGGAGCTGAGATTCCTGAGCCAGGCTCCTTGGAGGCAGGCTGGCCTTGAGGCACTGACCCTGGTGGCCAGGAGGTGCAGATGCTCTTGGCCCTCCCAGAACTGCTCTTTGGGATCAAGTGGATCATGAGTCACCTCAACACCCCTGCACTCCCAGCCCTCTCTGCACCCCAACCCCAAAGGTACCTAGAGCCACTTCCCTGTGCGGCGCTCCATTGGCAGGGTGTGCTCCTGCCAGGCCTCCTGCCAGCCTGGTGAACAGCAGCCTGGTGCTTGCTGAGGGGGCACTGACCACTGTTCCCTGCCTGTCCCTGTACTGCACAAGCAGGGGACTTCTGCCAGGCCAGCAGGAGAAACCAGCCAGGCCTGTGACAGTTTCAGAAAGGAGGACAAGGTCCAAGAATGAAAGGACCACCACCAGGGGATGGCATCCCCCATCCCTTCCCACTTCTCTTGCCACTGATGTTATGAAAACCCACAGCAGATGTCCAACCGGGCTGCTGCCCCTCCATACCCTAAGGATCAGCCCCCACCTCTGACAGCCTTGGAACCAAGCCAAGGAGAGAAAACTCACCTTATGCTTTACTGTCTTGCCACGGCCTGTGTAATCCCTCATGAGGAAAGTCAGTGCGGACATGTCGGACTTGTCCAGATCCTCGCCAATCTCCATCATCAGCACCCTGGGGGCGGGTGGACCCCTTTGAGCCTGTGCTCTGTACAGTGGGTCCCCTCAATACCATAGTCTTGGTCTCCAGAAAAAGACCTCAGGGGACTCCAACACCTGCCCCTTTGCCCCTTGCCTTCCAACCTGGGCCCTGACAATGACTCAGAAAACAGAAGCCCCTCTCCCCCAGGAGTTACTGCAAACAAGTGAAGGACCCAGGGGACAAAGTCAAAAGACAGAACCAGACTTCTCCAGGGCCTTGTCCTCTTGGGGACGTAAGGACACACTCTGAGTCACAAGAGTAGAAAGCAAACACCGGAACCTCACTGGGAACTCCAGCCCGGCGCGCCCTGGCCTGGATGCCCCTCCGACTTGGCCTCCGCCCCACAGCCATGGCAGCGCTCCCGGGTCAGCGCTGTCCCTGCTCTGGGAGGCCCATCTTCTAGCAGTGCTCCAACTTCCAAGATGGTAATCAAGGACACCCTTTGAGCTAGCCCTCTGCAAACTCCTGCCTGGGGGATGGCAGGTAGGCATGGCCCAGAGAGCTCCCTGTCTGGCCTCCAAACAGGGAAGGTGACACTGCCAGATGGTGTCTGGGAAGTAAAACTGCAATCCCTCATAACTTGGAGCCTGTCACAGAGACCCACCACCACCATGGGCTCCCAGCCACCTATCCTACACCTCCCACATGGGGCATGGGTGGCGAGAGAAGGAAACGGTAAGTGAAAGGACAGATCCTGTCCAGACCGGGTCTGTAATTCACCACATGGGGAGGAAAAAGGGACTTTTCAAGGCCATGTAACTGAGGGTGGGCAACTGAGACACCCACCCCGCTGCACGAGCTCAGCACAGCTCAGCCCTGTGGGGACTCCAGGGTTTCAGAGTTCTACAGAGACAGGAAGATGCTATCAGACTTCCTTTGTCAGTGCTGGAAATGACAGCAGCTGACATCACCTGTAGTGAGCCGACAACCTCAGCAATCACACCGGGAGCTGGCAAGGTCTGCTCAGCTGTTCTTGTCTTTCTTCTTTTCCTGTCATTCTGTCCTTGAGACAAGTGTACACCATCTGTCCCTTCCCCTTTTGCTAACAATCTTCTACCCAATTCCACAAAGCATGAGTAGCCTAAGAATTCAAAACCTGCCACTTTTCTAATCGCCAATAACCCTAGCACTTGGGAGTCTGAGGCCAGCCTGGGTGACATGGTAAGCTCAAGGCCAGCCTAGATACCAGCCAACAGCCGAGGCAGGGGAAGAACCCTATGGGGTACCTCCGATATGCCCCCACCCCAGGCTCAAGGGAATGTAGGTGTCACCTGTAGTTGGACACGAGGCCAGGGTGCCTGCGCAGGTGGGTCTCCAGGACCACCCGGTCCATCCTCAGCACCCGCTTGAGCAGGTCGAAGCGCCGCACCCTGTAGAGCAGCTCAGCCAGGCCCAGAAAGGACAGCTGGCCCCTCTCACTCAGCGCGGCCAGCAAGTCCCGGGCGTTGCTGGGCAGCAGGTCCACAGCGACGTCACGGCACAGGAAAGCCAGCACCTCCTTCTCCTCCTCATCCAGTGCCTCCTCCACCCGGTGGATGAGCTCCGTGGGCAGCGTCATGGTGAGGGTGGCAGGCAGGGGCTCCTGGCCCTCAGCAGTGGCCTGGGCAGCCCCGTTTCATGGCATTCATTCTGGGGAAGCGTCCAGTCAAAGGGAGTTAGCTCTCCTGTGTGGGAACCTCTGCTGGAACTTGGTCTCCCTTCTTCACTGCCCCGAATCTGGAGACCAGAGTGGATGCCTCAGAGACTAATCCCGCCAGACCAACCAGAACCAGAAAGACCCAGGGAGAAGTGAAAGCAGGGACAGCTCATCCCCAAAAGCCCCAGAGTACTCAGGACATGGGGCGGATGGGGAAATCACAGGCAACGTCAGGCTTGACCTCGGGGGAGGAAGAGGAAAACCCAGTGACTCAGATGCTGAGGACCACTGAGACTTGTGTCTCGGAGCCGGAGGGACACGCGGCAGGGGCCTCTGCGTGCCCAGCTGCCTCCTCACTTCAGCTCATGCACAGCTGCCCGACCCCAGCCCCAGCCCCTCATGGGTCCTCAAGATCAGTATGTCTGTGTGCCTCACAGAACTGAGTACGCATCCTGAGCACCCACCACTGCTACACCCTGAGCCCTGTTTATTTTGAAGGCCTTCTAAGTTGTTCCAGCTGGACTCAAACTTGTGTTGCTCCTGCCTCAGCCTCAGAGCAGCTGGGGTATTGGTGACCATACCCAGCTCCTTATCAGGCTTTGACCACGTCAGGCCCCTGAGCCTCCTGTCCTGCTGCAACACACCGGCATGGCCACACTGCAAGGAGGTCTTATGCGGGCATCAGTGTGGACTGAGGAACAGGCAGCCACCTTTGTGGGGTGGGTGCGTGTGGGCCAGGGGACTGCACATGTTTTTCTGCGCCATTTAAACTGCAAATGAGGGGCTGGAGAGATGGCTCAGTGGTCTAAAGCACCTACTTGAAACAAGCTTGGCAAAGCACAGGGACCACGGTTCGATCCCCCAGCACCACATGCCAGCCCGCCCCGCCCCCTGGTGGGCTGAGCTGGCCACATACACACACAATAAATAAATGTAATAAATAAAAATAAATAATTAAAAAAAAAAAAACTGCAAATGATTCACAGCTAGAATTTACCCTGAACTGGCTCGTGTGCTCTGGCCATGTGCTTTCTCTACTTCTGAGACAAAATTCAGATTACCACACAATTGGCAAAAACACCTGGAAACACAGCCAGTTCTAAGCCGCTCACACCCACTCTCTGCACACGCAGACTGGCGAGACTGCTCGCCCAACCCCACTCACACAGCACTACTTGGCACTGGAGGTGACATTTGCCAAAACGACTGTAAAACTAAAGCAGAAAAACTGGTGCTGCGGCTATTTCGGTTTTTTTTTTTTTTTCTGAAAGCTGGATGCTAATCAAATCCTACACTCCATTCCCAGGTCACAGTGCATTAACCTGAAGGCTACCTCCGGGAAACAGGCACCCGCCCCGCCTTGCCCACTCTACACACCGAAGGCACATTCTTGTCCCATTACATTTGCGCACAGCAATCCCAGCACAACCCCAGAACCTGGAGGCTGAGGCAAGAGGCTCATTGCCAGCTTCAGTGTAGCCTGGGCTACAAAGTGTGACCCTGTCTCAAAGAAACAAAACAAAACAAAAATGTAAATACGCTAGAAGAAATAAAAAAATAAAATAGGAGGTCTTTATACATGAGAGGGACTGACTGGATAAGAACAAAATACTGGGGGCTGGTGAGATGGCTCAGTGGTCTAAAGCACGTACTTAGAACAAGCTTAGCAAAGCACAGGGACGGCGGTTCAATCCCCCAGCACCACACGCCAGCCAGCCCGGCCCCCTGGTGGGCTGAGCTGGCCACACACACACACACACACACAAAAAAAAAAAAAAAAAAAAAAAAAAAAAAAAAACAATACTGCATGGGCTGGGAATGTAGTTCAGCCGCAAAACCGCCTGCCTGCCAAGTGTAAGCACAGGTCCTGGGCTTTGAACCTACAAAAAAAATAATAATAAAAATAAAAACACTAAATAAAGAATGTAAAGAATGGAGTGCTGCCATACTTGCTGAGCTCCGTGGTGGCCATGCAGACCCCCGGCCCTGCGCAGCCCCCTTGTCTGCAAGGGGTGCGCTGCATCACTCACCCTAAGCTCTTCCTGTAAGGATGACCCTACGGAGACAGGCTGATGTCCGAGCCAGTGCAGGCAGAGACAGCACACAGCAGTGACTGGCACACGGTGCAGGCGAGGACGCGGCCCCAAGCCGGCCTCACCACTGCTCCCAGGACGTAGTGAGCCTAGGGTCAGGCACACCACCGGCCAAGTGCACAAGCGGAGCTCGGCTCAGGCGCAAGAGCTTGGGCTAGGAGGGGTCCCAGAGGGGCTGGGGCTGGGGCTGGGGCTGGGTGGCCCTCGGGAGGAGGCGTGGCTTTGGGGCGGAGCCTGGCGTGAGGGGGGTCTTCGCTGGCCGGAAATGTCTATCTCCCCCCCAGCTCCTCCCATCTTTGCTTCCAGTTTGCTAAGAGGTGAGCAGCTCGTCTGCCAAGCCTGCTCCCAGCAAGTGCTTCCTGCCTTGCAATCTGCTGACAGTGGGCTAAAAATCTGAGCCAAAATAAACCTCTCCTCCTTAAGTAGTGGACATAGGGTACTGCGTGCCAGCAAGAACCAACTGTGCAAGCTCCTGGGTGACCACCAGCAGGGTGGGGCGTGCAGTACGGAAACTGGGAAAGGGACGGCCTGCCTCGGGGCACAAGCGTCCGGGCACAAGCTAGCAGGTGGAGTCATCAGCCTGCTGGAAAAGGCACGCAGTTAAAAGCCTGAGAATTGTTTACTTCGGAACTTTCCATGTCGTAGTTTCAGATCACAGCTGCCTATAGCAGTTTCTGCACAAAGCAAAACCTCAGATGAAGGACAGCAACTCTGCCTCACACCACATCCACTGTACAACATCGGACAATCAGCCAGAGAATCTTGGAGGGTCGGAAACTAAAGACTTACTGTGTCTTCCACATGCAAGTTTATCGTTTCAGTTAACAAGCACTAAAAGGAAATACGGGTGTGAGAATAAAGGGCTCGCCGTAGAGGAACTATGGCATCGCATTTAGAATGCCTTCAGAAGCAGAGAGGGTGGCACATGCCTGTCATCCCAGAGCACTGCGAGGCTGAGTGGAAGCCCAGCCTGAACAACCTAATGACTTGGTGAGACCCTGTCTCAAAATAAAAAGGGACCGAGGAACTAGCACAGTGGGAAGGCTCTGAGTTTAAGCCCCAGTGCTGTGAAAAGAAATAAAACAACATAAAATGCTTTTAGAGCTTCCTTGGTGTGTCTGCAAATGAATCTTAGAACAAAAAAGCCCAAGAACTTCCCAAAGCCATGGCAAGAAAGAACAGGCCGTGTTCCACCAAAAAGCTCGGAGGCAGGTGTGGCCAGTGGGCTGGACCTCTCAAAGGGCACACCTGCCACATACCTACACGCCACTCCTTTCTTCCAGAGTCACCTCCTATAGGCCAAGGTACCCTGCAAGCCCAGTCCTTGCTCTTACACCCAGCCCTGGCTGGCCAGCACTCCTGTCTTGTTTCACCTACCGTTCTGAGTCCTTCCCATCCGGACAAACCAGTACCCTGTGTCTTCTAGGATTTTCCAGGCACCCCGTGTCCTCTGGCATGTTCTGATCCAGTGACCATCTCCCGTCTTTTTCACATGCGCATAAATCCTCACCCACACCTCTGCCTCGTACTTAACACTGGAGCAGCTAAGGCCTGAGGAAGTTTTGGTTTCATTTCTCTGAGACAAATCATGGGCCACTGCCAAGAACGCTCACAATGGCAGCCAGGTTTCTGTGAGTCAGCTGAGCTCCCTGGACTCGGATTTGAGTTCTGGAACTCAGAAGACGCACAAAGCACTTCCGGCAAAGCACCCCTGGCACAGGTGTCCACACAGCTGCGGGAGGATGGAGGAGGGCTCTGCCAGCAAACCCCAGCCCCACACCCTACGCCTGAGCCAGGCCCACTGAGCTGGATCCCCTGGCCGCTACCGAAGCTCTAAGCCCAGGAGGGGTTGTTCCTAATCCTGGAGAAGCTGCTGTCCCCAAGCCTGTGCCACCAGCAGAAGCTGGCAACAAAGCTCAGACTGGCAGCAAAGCCCAGCCGACACCCATTTCCTCTTTGGGACCTGAATGCCTCCCCTGCTGCAGAGCTGAACGCACCTCCTGACAGATGTGCCAGCACTTTTATATGCCAAAACTGAACTCCCTGAGAAAGAAATTAGGAAAACAATCTCTTGGGTGTGGGCAATGGCCGGGGCTGGCTCCGGACCCGCTGGACCCTGTCCACGCCGCCGACGTCCACCACTGGGGCAGCTCCCCCTGCCCGGCCATACTCCTCCATGAGCCGCTCTCAGGGCTGAGCTCTGTACTGGGCTTCTAGGACACCTGCACCTCCTGCCCTGGAAGACCTAGACTGCTGGCCAGCTTCAGCATGGGGGGGGGATCCTCTGCGCCGACCTGCGGGGGCGGGGCCGGGTGGAGGAGGCCAGGCCTGTACTCAGGGTTTCGCCAGGAGGTGGAGCTGGAGGTCAACCCTTAGGGGACAGACTGTCCAACATCCGAAGTCCCTGTCACACACGCCTGTAGCTGCAGCTGCCTGGGGGCTGAAGCAGCAAGATCATGTGGTTAAAGCCAGTATAGGCAACCTGGGGAGACCTTGGCTTAGTAAACCCCAAAAAGCCCTAGGCAAGTAGCGTGAGACTCCATGGGTTCAAAAAATGAAAACTATTTTTCCTAATTACAAAATGTAGTAGCTGCTTGCTTTTGGAAGCTGAGCACACGGAAAGGAAAGCACAGCTATCTGCAGTCGCGCAGTCCGCAGTCTCCCAAGCTCCACTCGCTTACTACGCGAGTCCCAGACCGCGCTGCTCCGCAAGACCGAGCGGGTCAGCGGGGCTGGCCGAGCCGCGGGACAGCGCTCAGAGCGACACAAAGCCCTGCAGACATACGTCCTCACAAACAACAAAAATTTGCACTTGGGGAAAAGAAATTTTAATCTGAACCGTGGAGCCCGGCGTGAAGGCGTCAGCCTTCCTTGATCTGGGAGGCTGAGGTAGGAGGATCGCAAGTTCAAATCCAGCCAGGCAGCTCAGATTTCAAAGCCTCCGTCTCAAAACAATAAGGGCCGAGGTGGAGCTCCGCGGGAGGGCGCCAGTTCGGAAGAAAATGCACTCGAGGGGTTGCACGGGTCCCGAGGGACGCGCCGGGCGCTGGGCGGCGCTGGCACCCACCTGTGCGGGTCCGTCGCGGGGGCAGAGTCCGTCTAGGCGGCTGGGAGCGGGTCCGCTCTCGGGGAGGCCGCGGCGCCGTTCGGGCGCCCGCCCCGCGCGGTGGCCCAGGTCG